CCCCTGCCTGCGCAGCCCCCCTGGAGAGGGCCCCAGCCGCCTGGCGCTGCAAGTCAGGGTGAGGGCACCCCGCTTCCCCTGGTCCCGCGCCCGGGTGGGTGCCACCCGCATCCCTGCTGGGTGACAGCCATGGCATTCCCATGCCTGGCCAGGTGCCACCTGCATCCCTTTGCATAAGTGATGCCAGCCCCATGTCCAGCCAGGTGCCACCCACATCCCTTGGAGAGGGCCCCAGCCGCCTGGCGCTGCAAGTCAGGGTGAGGGCACCCCGCTTCCCCTGGTCCCGCGCCCGGGTGGGTGCCACCCGCATCCCTGCTGGGTGACAGCCATGGCATTCCCATGCCTGGCCAGGTGCCACCTGCATCCCTTTGCATAAGTGATGCCAGCCCCATGTCCAGCCAGGTGCCACCCACATCCCTTCTGGGTGACACCAACCCCGTGTCCAGGCAGGTGCCACCCACGTCCCTTCTGGGTGACGCCAAACCCATGTCCAACCAGGTGCCACCCACGTTCCTTCTGGGTGACGCCAACCCAATGTCCAGCCAGGTGCCACCCACGTCCCTTCTGGGTGACACCAACCCTGTGTCCAGCCAGGTGCCACCCACATTCCTTGTGGGTGACACCAACCCCATGTCCAGCTAGGTGCCACCCACGTCGCTTCTGAGTGATGCCAACCCTGTGTCCAGCCGGGTGCCACCCACATCCCTTCTGGGTGACACCAACCCCGTGTCCAGCTAGGTGCCCCCCACATCCCTTATGGGTGACACCAACCCCGTGTCCAGCTAGGTGCCACCCACATCCCTTCTGGGTGACACCAAACCCGTGTCCAGCCAGGTGCCACCCATGTCCCTTCTGGGTGATGCCAATGCAATGTCCAGCCAGGTGCCACCCACTTCCCTTCTGGGTGCCACCAATCTCTCTTCTCCTGGGGCCACTGATCAAGTCCTCACGTCTGTGCGGGTGCCATCTATGTCCCTACTCCTGGGTGACAGTGACCCCATCCCCACTCCTGGCCTGGTTCCACCTGCATCCCTTCTCCTGGGGACACCAGCCCTGTCCCCACACGCAGCCCTGTGGCACCCGTGTCCCCACCCACCGCGTCCCATGCACCCAGAACCCTCTGTCCCCAGGTGATCACGGCGCAGCAGCTGCCCAAGCTGAACCGGGAGAAGGGCAGCTCCATCGTGGACCCCTTCGTGCGCGTGGAGATCCACGGCGTCCCGGCCGACTGCGGCAAGCAGCAGACCCACCACAAGCTCAACAACGGTGAGCGACCGCCGGGCCACCACCGCCCGGCCACCGGCCCCAGGGACAGCCCCGGGCACCCCGAGCCTTGGGACAGCCCAGGGCACCTGGTCCGTGGGGACACCCCCATCCCTGAAGATATCCCAGGGCACCCATTCCCTGGGGACACCCCAGGGCACCCCAAATCCTGGGGACACCCTGGGGCACCCCAATCCCAAAGACATCCCAGGGCACCCAGTACCCCCTGGGGACATCCCAGGGCATCCAACACCCCAGGGACACCGCAGTGACACCCCGATCCTTGGGAACACCCCAGGGCACCCCAAATCCTGGGGACACCCTGGGGCACCCCAATCCCTGAAGACATCCCAGGGCACCCTATCTCCAGGGACATCCCAGGGGACCCCGATCCCTGGGGACACCCCAGGGCACCCTGATCCCGGGGACACCCCAGGGCACCCAGTCCCTCCTGGGGACACCCCAGGGACACCCCAATCCTGGGGACACCCCAGGGCACCCCAATCCCTGGGGGGTGGCAGAGCCCCCCGGCACCCAACACCCCAAGCACCCGCTGCCCCCCGCACCCCAGCTGCCGACCCGAGTGCAGCCGGTGCCCAGGACTCCCCAGTCCCCCCAGTGCACCCCAGTCCCGCAGTGCCCCGTCCCCAGCGCAGCCTGATCCCCGCCAGTGGCAGGGCCCCAGTACATCCCAGTCCTCCCCAGTGCACCTCCCTCCGGTGTACCCAGCCCAAGCCCAGTGCAACCCCTATTCCTGCCAGTATAATCCAGTCCGGCCCCAGTATCACTCCCATTCCCCCAGTATAGCCCAGCCTGGCCCTGGTATCACCCCCTTTCTCCCAGTATACCCCATCATGGCCACAGTATGACCCCATTCCCCCAGTATAGCCCAGCCCAGCTCCAGTACAACCCCTATTCCCCCAGCATACTGCACCACAGCCCCAGCATGACACCCCACTCCCCAGTATACCCCATCACAGTCCCAGTATGACCCCCATTCCCCCAGTGTAGCCCGGCCCGGCACCAGTATCACCCCCATTGCACAGCATATCCCAGCCCACCTCCAGTATGACTCCCATTCCCCCAGTATACTGCACCATGGCCCCAGTGTGATCCCCATTCCCCAGTATATCCCAGCCTAGCTCCAGTATGACCCCGCTTGCCCCCCATATACCCCACCACGGCCCCAGTATCACCCAGTTCCCCAGTATACCCTGCAGTGGCCCCAGTATGACCCCCTTTACCCCAGTATAACCCACCACAGCACCAGTATGGCCCCCTGTATAGCCCAGCCTAGCCCCAGTGTGACCTCCTCTCCACCATTATAATCCAGTCCAGTCCCAGTATGACCCCCATTCCCTCAGTATACCCCACCATGGCCCCAGTATGACCCCCATTCCCCCAGTAAAGCCTGGGACTGGCTGGGCTGTACTGGGGAAATGGGGGTCAGCTAGCCCCAGTGTGACCTCCTCTCCCCCAGTATAATCCAGTCTGGCCCCAGTATTGCCCCCATTCCCCCAGTATAGCCCAGCCCAGCACCAGTATGAACCCCACTCCCCCAGTATACCCCACTATGGCCCCAGTATGACTCCCATTCCCCCAGTAGAGCCCAGCCCAGCACTAATATCACCCCCATTCCCCAGTATAGCCCAGTCCAGCTCCAGCATGACCCCCATCCCCCCCGTA